GAGGAGGAGAGGCAGGAGGGGCAGGAGGAGGAAGCAGACGTCGGAGGGGGAGGAGGAGGGTAAGAGGAGGAGGGTAAGAGGGCGAAGGTGGAGGAGGGCGAGGAGGATGGGTAGGCGGCTGCCCCAGCAGGATCTCCTGGGGGGGCCCGCCGCCCCTCGCCCGCCAGCCTGGCATGACGGGTGCTCAGCAGGCGTGGGGTATGGCCCAGCATTTTTCTCGGGCCAGCAGGAAGTGACAAGGGCCTCCTGCTCGCTGCTCCCCCCCATGGGCTCGCCGCCGCAGAGCCGACGGCGCGGCACGCCGAGCCGAAGCTCCGCACCGCATCCCCGCTGCACCACCGTGGGGCCCCGGGCGGCCCTCGACGGGCGCGGCGGGCGGCGCGAGGGGCGCCCGTCGCCCGCGCGGCGCGAGGGGCGCAGGAAGGGGGGCGAGGTTCGAGATTTGGGATGTGACAAGGTTTTCGAATTGTTCTGTCTCTAGGGGGCCGTTGTTTGGGGGCTCCGGGGCTGTCAATAACGGATCCGGGGTGACAAATTACACCAGATGGACCACGGGAGGGGGCCGGTGACTGCTTTTGAACGGATTTATCTTTATTAATCGCTTCGCTCATTCCGCCGGCCCATAATGTCGCACCGTGGTCGCCTGTCCGAGTGGTCGTTTGCAGTGTGGAGCTGCGGCGTCGGGAGCTGTGTAGTGTTGGGGGCGTTCTTGGGGCCCTCTTGGGCCGTCCTGGAGGCCTCTGGGGCCGTCTTGGAGCCGTCTTGGGCCGTCTTGGGGCCCTCTTGGGGGCCTCTTGGGCCCTCTTGGGGCGATCTTGGAGGCCTCTTGAGCCGTTTAGGGGCGTCGGGGAACCGAAAAGGTTAAAACGCCCAAATCTGTCCAACACCAAAGGAAAAGCACAGGTTTTTGCCTCTTGGGGCCCTCTTGGGAGTTCTCTTGGAGGCCTCTTGGGGCATCTTGGAGGCTTCTTGGGCCCATCTTGGAGACGTCTTGGGCCGTCCGGAGGCCATCTTGGGCGTCGTGGAGCGATCTTCGGGCGTCTCGGACCTCTCTTGGACCGTGTTGGGGGCGTTCTTCTTTGGGGCCTCTTGGGCCCTCTTGGAGGCCTCTTGAGCCGTTTAGGGGCAGGTTAAAACGCCCAAATAAGCACAGGTTTTTGCCTCTTGGGGCCCTCTTGGGAGTTCTCTTGGAGGCCTCTTGGGGCATCTCGGAGGCTTCTTGGCCCATCTTGGAGACGTCTTGGGCCGTCCGGAGGCCATCTTGGGCGTCGTGGAGCGATATTCGGGCGTCTCGGACCTCTCTTGGACCGTGTTGGGGGCGTTCTTCTTGGGGCCCTCTTGGGCCGTCTTGGAGGCCTCTGGGGCCGTCTTGGAGCCGTCTTGGGCCGTCTTGGGGCCCTTTTGAGGGCCTCTTGGGCCCTCTTGGGGCGATCTTGGAGGCCTCTTGAGCCGTTTAGGGGCGTCGGGGAACCGAAAAGGTTGAAACGCCCAAATCTGTCCAAAACCTAAGAAAAAGCATTGATGTTTGCCTCTTGGGGCCCTCTTGGGAGTGCTCCTGGAGGTCTCTTGGGGCATCTTGGAGGCTTGTTGGGTCATCTTGGAGACGTCTTGGGCCGTCTGGAGGCCATCTTGGGCGCCGTGGAGCGATCTTCGGGCGTCTCGGACCTCTCTTGGATTGTGTTGGGGGCCTCTTGGGGCCCTCTTGGGGCGATCCTGGAGGATCTGGGGGAGTGTCCCGGGCTCCGCCCGGGCTCCGCCCGGGGTACTTTTGATCCAGGGACCCCCAGGGGCCGCCCCGCGCGCGCGAACTAGAAATACTGTTTACCAGTTACCGGAGATCTTAGCACGCCTCTGGCCCGTTGGGCCGGCGAATTTAATCGCTTCGCTCATTCCGCCGGCCCTGGAGCGCTATTTGGGGCCTCTTGGGGCCTTCTTGGGGGCTTCTTGGGAGCGTCTTGGGGCTCCTTGGCGGCGTATTGGGCTCCCCTGGGGCCTCTTGGGGGGCTCTTGGGGGCCCCTTGGGGCGGGAGGGGGGGTAGTCGTTGGCAGCCCCCCCCTCGAAAGCCACGATCCTCGTGAGGGGTGGCGAAAAATAGCCTCCCCCTAGGGATCGCCCGGGGGTCAGCTGGGGATCGACCAGGGTACTTTTCGTCCGGGGCCCCCCAGGGGCCGCCCCGCGCGCGCGAACTAGAAATATTGTTAAGTAGTTGCCGGAGATCTTAGCACGCCTCTGGCCTTTGGGCCGGCGAATTTTGGGCCCATCCAGATCAGACCCGTGGCCGCTTCTAATGGTCAGGCCATCGGATTCCAGATCTGTCCTTAGGTCGCATCGTTAAAGCGACCGACCGGCACTTCAAATCGGTCGCGACCTATCGAGACCGATTCTAAAGTCGGTCGCGGCCGGTTCTGAAGCAAATCGGTCGCGACTGATACCAGAATTTGAGACACAGTCTGCAGCGACCGATCTCATCGGTTACGACCAGAAATAATGGCATCCAGTGATGAGGGGAGGGGAGGAAGGGGATGAGGATCCCCGAGATCCTGGCGTCGCAATTTTGGCAGCGGGCGATGTTGCCGTGTCTCGGGCACCGGGGCGGCCCTCACGGATCAATCTGGCTCGAAAAATACGGCAGACAGGTGGGGTTACAGGGCTCCAGTCATGGTGTTGCGCCGTGTTGCATTTTTCGCAAGGTCGGATCTCAGGAGAGGAGGAGGAGGAGGAGGAGGAGGAGGAGGAGGAGGAGGAGGAGGAGGAGGAGGAAGAGGAGGAGGAGGAGGAGGAAGAGGAGAAGAGGAGGAGGAGGAGGAGGAGGAGACGGAGGAGGAGGAGGAGGAGGCGGAAGCAGAAAAGAAAATGAGGAGGAGGAAGAGGGTGGTGGGGGAGGGGAGAAGGAGGAGGGGCTGGAGGAGGAGGAGGAGGAGGAGGAGGAGGAGGAGGAGGAGGAGGAGGGGGAGGAGGGAGGTGGAGGAGAAGGCGAAGGAGGAGGAGGAGGAAGGCGATGATGATGATGAGGAGGAGGAGGAGGAGAAGGAGGGCGGGGAGGAGGGTCAGAGCAATTAGACCCAAGGTATATCAGCGGTGCTGCAGTGCACCCTCTCGTCCCGTGCCCACTCCTCAGCAGGCAGTCGGCAGTCCCTGCACGCACGCTTGCTTGCTTTTTCACTGCGCGAGGCGCCCCCCCGTTTGAGAGGCCGGCGTCCCCAATGCGCCCGCAGATTTCTTGGCCGGAGCTCCGTTCTGAGAGCTCTTCGAGCTACGGGTAGTGCGTGACGGTGGGGTCGCAGAGTTGGAGGTGAGTGATTTGTTTACCCTCTGGGCCAGAACGCTCGTTATGTTCCCTACCATGCGGCGCTGCTGCAGTGCGTCCGGCACCACATTTTGGGGGGGGGGGTGGGGGGCGCCACGTTATGGCCTCTCCCGCTCCCCCCCCCCCCTCCCCGTAACGCCCGTCATGGCCGCGAATTTGAAAGATGCGCTCAAGGAAGTGCCAACAAAAATGCGCTCAAGGAGGTGCCGACGACATCCCCGATGAGAAACCGAGCCGCCCTCGCTCCGTGGAGTCGTTGCACTGCTTATGGCACGAGCGAGAGCCACCTTCTGGAAATGTTACGCTCCCCTGTCGTGCGATGGCTGGACAATGTTCTATTCGTGGTGGCAACTTGCGGCGGATCCCCAGGCAACGCTTCAATGTTGCAAACGGCCTGCCCTCCATCCGTGCAGTTTCCGGAGTGTCTGGCGACGAGTGTGCGCGGGGCCACAGGGAGAGCTCACTTGTAAGACGGCCCACCCTCCATCCGTGCAAATGCCAGAGACTTCAAGTTTCAAGACCGCTAGCGGTGAAGGAGTCGCAGGCGAAACGCGCGGGCCGCCCTGACGACACGCTTGGTGGTGCGACAGGGAGGAGGTCTTGACAAGGAAGGAGGTGTTTACACATACAAGGAAGGTCCTTACAAGGTAGGAGGAGGAGGTCTTTACAAGGAAGGAGTTGTTTACAAGGGAGGAGGAAGTCTTTACAAGGGAGGTCTTGTCAAGGAAGGAGCTGTTTACACAGAGATGAGACAGTGCTGATGGGAGGGAGAGTGGCGAGGGGGCGATTTTCATGAGGGTTTTCTCAGAGGCCCGTGGAGGTTTTTGACGGTGTATGAAGATTTCCGGAGGCTTCCCGACTTTTCTCTCCTGGCAGGATGAGGAGGAGGAGGAGGAGGAGGAGGAGGACAAGAAGTTCTCGTTGTCATCGTCCTTTTCCTTCTTTTCTCCTCCTCATCACCCCCATCCTCCCATTACCGAGGCGGGCACAGATGCTTTTTGGGGGAACGAGCGAAAGAGGGGAGTGGAGAGCGCCTTGGGGGAAGGATCTTGAGTTTTTGCGTCTTCTTCTTCTTCTTCTTCCTGCTCCTCCTCCTCCATCCTCCTCCTTCCTAACCATTCTGGCTCAAATTAACTTGTGTGCCTTGAACTCCGATGTCGCGATTTTTTGCAACGTGGCGCCTGCGAGATCTGGACCCCTTCTCTCGGACTTGCTTTTCACCATGAGTTGTTTTTTGACGGACCGAAGGCCTGGCCGGGGCCTCCAGCGGCCGAAGATGAGAGAAACATTGTCGTCATGATTTTTGTTCTAGAATATCAGGGTCGCTTGGATCCGAGGAGAAGTCGTCGTCGTCCTCGTTGTCCTCCTCGTCGTCCTCGTCGTTCTCGTCCTCGTCCTCTTCGTCCTCTTCGTCGTCGACGTCAGGGTAGTGGTCCTCGTCGTCCTCGTCGTCGTCGCCGTCGCAGTCGCCGTGGGCGTCCTCGTCGTCGGCGTCGTCATCGTCGTCGTCGGCGTCGTCGTGGGCGTCGTCGTTGTCCTCTTCGTCGTCCTCGTCGTTCTCGTCGTCCTCGTCGTCCTCGTCGTCGTTGTCGTCGTTGTCGTCATCGTTGTCGTCGCCAGCGTCGGCATCGTCGTCGTCGGCAGCGGCGGCGGCGCCGTCGTCGTCTTTGTCGAGAGCGAGCTGGTGCGCAG